ATTCCTGCCGTTCCACCTCTCTCTCTCCATGACATGCCCAAATGTGCTTCACAGAGTACTGGGTGGGAAATGCCCTTTTAAACCTACCGGCAGCATGGCAGCACAACCGCAGAACACAGGTATCACCTTTAAGTGTAGCTGCATCTGTGACAGCTCCAAGAGGTCATCAGAAGACTTCAGAAATGTAATCCTCCTGCCTATAACAAGAGCCCAAATACAAAGAATTAAAATCAGTAAAAGTAAAAATATATATTTATTGCAAAATGACAGCTATGCTAATACCACTCATTGTCTGAATACACAATTACACTTCAAGTCAACAGACCGTTGACTATGTTGGGAAATTGTAACATTTATTTTTACGTTTCTTTACAGATATCACGCAAATAAATACAAATATTATGTTTTATTTCATAATTCTTCATTTTAAATAAATGTAGCAATAAATGTAAAATTTATCAGACGGCTGTATCACATTTTGTAGCACTCTGAAAGCATAAAATGCCTGATAATACTTCACCTTCAAATACAAATACTAGTAAAGGAACATAATTTCACCAACAGGTTCTGGATGTGCATGGCAAATTTTTCATTTTCAAATACTAATCATTATTACAAACAAATGTTTTACGGGCCTGTGAGCTAAAGCAACATGCACGCACACGTACACACACTGCCTGACCAGTTGAAACATGGAGTACTGAGTTAGGACACTGATAGGCCAGTAAGGTGAACTGATATACAGAAGTGTGCAGCGGAGCATTTATAATACCATCAAACATTACAGTAATGAAAACCCTGAGTCAAGTACAAGGCAAAACGAACACCTTCTACACGCACCGAGCTGCTCAAATTCGCTGAAAATATCAGCCCATCAGTTTGTGCTGTAGGAAACAAAAATAGTAAACTAAAAAAAGACAGATTTCTAGGCGTGAGCCACACCTATTCTAAACTGACCATTACTCTGTTTACAAAATAATTAGCAAATCCCATTAACCAAAAAGCGTAAACTTCAAAGCTTACATCGATGTAGTTACAATTATTATTAAAATATGAGTCATTCAGTGCCCAATTTCAAAAATGTCACAAATATCTTAAGTTTTGTTGAATTTGAATGAAGCATGTCGTATAATGCATTTTTATTTTAATCAAGTTATACATAAACATAACTTATCAAACCTAGAGGCCATCTACCGCTACAAAATAAATTAGAAAATAATTTTACACCATAACCTGGTGTGACCTTCAAAGATTGAATTTATTTTATTTGTTACATCCTTGTGTTTAGATAATATACATCATTATAATTACATACCTGCACCTAGAAGAATGAGACAAGGATTTATTTAAGTCTATGTTTCAGTCTATTCAATTATTATAACTTGTAATATATATTTGCTTAGATGTTTTTTTTTTTTAATTGCACAACCCCTCTGGCTCAGGGCATGATACTGTTCTGTGCATGCTGTGTCCCAATTTCTTTCACTAAGACACTTTACACTGACTCAAAACATACTATAAAGGGACCACTATATCTACCAATGTATAGCCTTGTGCCTCCCGTGAAGCAGTCATCTTGTTTTGCATATGACTGAAAAGCTGAGTCCCTATGACTGCTTATTTGCTATCAATATCAAAGAGAGATGTCTATATCTGCTTTAAAACTATGAATGCAGGAGCATGCAAAGCCAAGCCACATGGGCAACAGATTCATGGTGCCTTTTCAATTTTGGACCAATACCAACATACAACAGGTCAAAAAGGGACTATTTAGAACAATTTAAGAGGAAGAAAGCAAACACTCAAAAAAAATTAAGACCAAAAGATAAGCCTAAAGGTAAAGTTAAGTTGAGAAACAATAAATCCAAAAGACAGCATGGAATCCCGTACTAAATATGAAATGTTTTAATGTACACACCACAGATGAATCCTCACAAAGTGCAGTGCATTTTGATTAACGTTCATGATTCTAATCTAAAGAGAATATAATGTAATAATCAATTGGTACCTTTTAAATACAGTAAGGGAAAAAATTGTATAATAAAAATGTGATAAAAATAGCCTGCTTAAGTAAATTCCTCATAATGAATGTTTTTATTATATAATAAATAAGATATAAAGGAGAACCAGGACTAGTTGTCATAATTTTTACTCCAGTGAATATTTCTCAGTATTTTCTGCTGTTTTGGCACATACCTTATAGTCTTGGCGATACAAAAAAGCTACTGAATATTTTTACCATTTTTTTTGTTGATGAAAATTGGCAGTTTATTGAACACACATTGACCTTTTGTGGTAGGGTATGTTGTCACATTACAGTACATGGAGACTTTAAACAGCCTCTTATTGACTGCTCTGCTAAATTAAAACAATTACGAAACGCATAAGAATTAAACAGCAAACATGTAAAAGTTAATGTACAATAACCCCAAACCATTTTTTAAGTGTCAATATTGCAATTTATAAATTGTATATTTGTAATATTTTCACAATGTAACAACACGCCCCAATATAAACCTCAAGCCCCAACCTCACATTTATGAAACGTTATAACTATATATAAATATAAATAAATTTTAGCTGAATAATCATTTTCTGTTACAAAAATCAGTTGTTATATTTTTCCTTCATGATATAGTTCATTTTGTCTGTACACTTCTTTACAAAACGGCTCAAAAATATGACGATTACGGTATTTTAAAATTCACTATAATTATAATACAAGACATTTTTGAAGTATGAAGAGAACTCTTAGTAACTAACAGAACTCTCGTCTTTGCTCCAACTAGCCACCGTCTTCCATATATTTTTGTCGGATGAAAAAAGTAAACTAGTAGTATCGAGTAAATTATTTGGGGACTTATGATACAATTTAATTGGCGAAGGCAAATCAATTTGATTTCATTTAATGCTTTAGGCTACCATACTAGCTATTGAGGAACGAACCACTTACGGACGATACCATCCAAGCGCGCAACAGAACTGCACTGACACCAGTTGCTCTGCTCGCTGTGGGCGGAGATATCACGAGCTAGCGCCACCGTATGATTATAGGAGCTTTTGGCGGTTTATTTTTTTGTCAGTAGTTTTGCCAAATGCCTTTGAAGTCTACGTACTGTCCTTAGACTAACCATACCTTAGGCTACCTAAAATCAAAATGTTGTTTTACTAAGAAAACAGACTAAACGCCAAACCACGGTGAATTAAAACGCAGTCATCCACCGCAAGCGAGAATCTCACGCGCAAAGACGGGCCTTAAATTGCCGGATAAACAGCAGCCGTCTTGGCGCATGGCTGTATGCTTTTAACCGCGCTGTATACAGTCCAGACACGCTGATAGATATACTCACTGCAGCACAGTGTTTTGGCATCACGAGTTCATGGGGTTAATGAGAAACCGTGCTCACGTGAGCACAGGTGCGTCATCTGTCTGAAGAGATGATCGCGATAAACTCCGAACGACATGCGCTAACATGTAATCACATTCAAATGAGCACCCTGCAGCCGACCAGCGGTTTACATGCGCCGTCCTGTTTGCTATGATTAAGCAACATCGCACAGTTATATTCATGAACAACACAATCACCATAACAACGGCAGACTGTATCAGACAAAAAGATTTGCGCCCCGCCACGATCATCTTACCTGTGAATTAATGAACTGTCTGTCTGGTGAAAAACATGGAATAAAACTTTGAAATGCGCTACAATAGAATCTAGTTTTCAAGCTACGATCAGACTACAGTGTTGGATGATTGTATAATTCCGCTCTGTCTCCCTTTGTTTTTCTAATGAGTATGAGCGAGACTCTGGATGAACTCCATCACCATTTTTATCAGTTTCAGACAGACTCCAGACACTCTCTGGCCACTCGCGTGTCGTGCACTGTCTGCGCAGCGGCTTCGCGAGCGCTGGCGCGCCACAGACTGACAAGCTCCAGACCAATGGAGTCCCGAACTGGAACATGATATCCAATAACAGCAGCCCAAAAATCATAACCTCTGAATGACTCCCCGGATGGATGCAGAGAGAAAATAATCTTTAGGAAACGCAGTCAAAGAAATATGATTGGAGGTGGGATGAATCAGGTTTATCCTGCAGGCATAACGCTTGCTGATATGGATATAAACTCTTGAGTCGTAGGAGAGAAGGAAACTGCATAATAATGCGTTAAAAACGCGCGACCGTAGCTTTAAACAGTTGTCTGGTTTGCATTACTAAAGGATAACTTATTTAATAAAAATAGTGTACTTGCTGATGCATCCAGTTTGATGTGTTTATATTAATTCTATTTTTAAGAGTAATAGTATAAATATAAAATAATAGTAGGATGTTGGCATTTCATAATAGCTAATATAGCCTATTAGCATATTAAATTATTAAAATATGCTTTGTGTAATTTTTGATCAATTTACAGCATTTGGATAGCTAACTAGTATACACAAACAAAGATCTGATAAAATGATTTGTGTTTTTAAACACTTTATTATTTGATCTTAATATTTTTTTACACTGTTGAAACTAAAGCCAAAACCGAATCTTTGCTAGTTTAACTAATTGTTCCACTAAGTGCTAATGATACAAATACAATAAAATAAAATAAATAAATAAAAAAGTTGGGGTAAAGATCAAATGTAACATTTTTCTTTGTATTTTTTTTTATTAGACTATGATGGAGTAACTTTTTAAAGCATTGGTGAGACTCATCACTTACAAATTCGACCTTTGTTGTTAAGCTAAAACTTCCCAAACTCTAACTGGTGAAATTGAATTTTGAAATGAATTTGACATCCCAGCAAGCAATTTTGCATTTAAAAGACGTCTATTAGACGTCTAAATATAGCCTAGACATCTAGGCTAAAATGAGGCTAAATTTGGGTCAGTGAAAATCTAATAGACGTCTAATCATAGCCCATTTATAGACTAGTCATCTATTAGACCACTATTAAATTACTACATATATACATCTAATAGACAACAAAATGGCAATCCATACATACAGCTTTTATTACAACTTGGACAACTTAAGACAATACAAAATGATAAAAATAGAAAAGAATTAATGACAAAATAAAATGTTATAAATACAATACACTTAAATATAAATATTATGATTTTAAAAAATCTGGAGTTTTTAACAACTTAAGATAATAAAAATATAAAAATAAGATATTTAAAAGAAATCTAATACAAATCAAGAGCATGTTATCACACTTAACATTAAAACATTACGGATAAATGACAACATAAAAAAAAGATGAACCCTTTTGCTGGTTTACTTTTAACAAATAAAACAACCAACAGTGAACTTAAAGGAAATGATTAATTATTGGTTTTATTTCTTGTTTAAAATGCTTCCCAACTGCATTCCTCAAGTCCAACTCTGTTGCTGCC